CAGGATGAGTTGAGTACCCGGGTTGACAAGTTGGGTCGAGCCGAGAAAGCCAGAATGATCGCGGTGGTAGAGGTGGTAGCCCTAAGGGACGCCCTTCAGGTTTGCATATCTAAGCAAGCTACTGAGGTAGAAACTTCAGTGCTTAAGAAGCGAGATTTGAGGAGAGGATTGGGGGTTTGGAGGTGGAGTTGTCTTAGCTGAATGAGAAAGTTGTCGCCCTACGGGCCGAGAAGGCACAGGTGCAGGCTCAGCCATCCACTTCTCATACTTCTGTTGCTCCCGGTGTGTCACAGGAGGTTTATGAAATGTGGGTTCATGTTGAGGCCCAACTTGAAATATATAGGTCTCTGAAGGTGGCCGGGAAGATTTCCGAGGCTGAATTTGAGGATGTTTGTGTTAAGGCACGTGCAGCTCGTGACACTTGTGGTTATGATCCCGGTATGCCCGGGGAGACGATGATGAAGACGCCTTGGATAGGCTTGCCTCCGACCCTTGGTACGACGATGAGTATGTTGGTGATGGTGCATCATGAAGTCTTTGTACTTAGTTTTTGCTTTTTTGTGTTTTGCTGTTTTTGTGGGGGCGTCTTAACAGCCCTTTATAAAAAATGTATTGGAAAGAAATGATTGAAATAGTTGTTTATTTCTGGCTCTTCTTTCTCTTTCTTTTTGTTGTGAGTTCTTTTGCAAGAAAGTCCCTCACTTTCGGTTTACTTCGAACGAGGTCGAAGGTAAGTTAGTTCGAGCGAGGTTGAATGTATGTTAATTCGAACGAGGTCAAACGTATAATGATTCGAACGAGGTCGAACGTATAATGATTCGAACGAGGTCGAACATATAATGATTTGAACGAGGTCAAATGTATAATGATTCAAATGAGGTCGAATGTCTAATGGTTCAAACGAGGCCGAATGTAGAATGACTCGAACGAGGTCGAATGTATAATGATTCGAACGTGGTCGAATATAGCATGATTCGAATGAGCTTGAATGTATAATGATTCGAATGAGGTTGAATGTATAATGATTCGAACGAGGTCAAATTTAGAATGATTCGAACGAGGTCGAATGTATAATGATTCAAATGAGGTCGAATGTATAATGATTTGAACAAGGTCGAATGTAAGTTCCCCTTGCGTTGGCATGATGTGCAAATTTGGTGGAGGTGTAAGAAATACTGCTTTGTTTATTCATTGGAGAATATTACATCCCTTTTTGGGCTGTACATACATTCGAGGAGTCCCAATCTATCTAGTCCCTTCATCACTCGGCCTAGAGAAGTAGTCAATAGGCGGGGAATGAACTAAACACCTAAACTCTGAGACACCTCCTTCGTCGCCTCATTAAAAACCTCCCCGCAAAAACCCAATTGGGACAAAACTCGGGTGAGGGAAAAAAAGTACGACTTGGGGGACGTCCGTCTTCAGAAGTTGAAGTATTTGAGGGGGGCGACGTTCCAATTGTTTGGTAGTAGTTTTCCCTCCATTGTTTCTAGTTGGAATGACCCTTTGTTTGTTGTTGCTGTGATTTTGTATGGTCCGTCCCAATTTCCCAGTTTACCTTCTCGTGGGTCTTTGCTTGCTTGTGTTTTGGCTTTGAGCACATAATCCTCTACCTTGAGTGGTCTGACTTTGGCTTTTTTGTTGTAGTACCTATTTGCTTGTTGTTTTTGAGCTATCATTCTTAAGTAGGCCATGTCTCTTCGCTCATCTGTTTCATCGAGGTCTTGTTTTCTGCTATCATCGTTACTTGTTCCACTCTCGTTGGAGTATCTTAAACTTGGCTCCCCGACTTCGACTGTTATCACTGTGTCAGTATCGTAGACTAGTGAATATGGTGTTTCTCCTGTGCTTGTTTTGGGCGTGGTGCGGTACGCCCATAGCAATTCTGGCAGCTTTTCCGGCCACCGTCCCTTGGTGTCCTCAAGCTTCTTCTTCATGATGTTCACTATTATTTTGTTGGAGGATTCCGCCTGGCCATTGCCAGCGGGGTGATATGGCGTGGAGAGTATTCGCTTGGTGTGCCATTTCTCGAAGAATTTGGCAGTCTTTTTTCCGGTGAACTGGGGTGCCTTGTCACAACTGATTTCTTTGGGGATGCCGAAGCGGCATATATTTCTCCATATGAATGTGATAACTTCTTGTTCGCATATTTGGGAGAATGCACCTGCTTCTACCCACTTGGAAAAATAGTCAGTTAAAACAAAAAAAAATTATATATTACCTCGTCCCGATGGGAGGGGTCCGACGATGTGCATCCCCCACTTGATGAATGCCCAAGGTGATGTGACGGAGTGAAGGTGCTCGCCCGCCTGGGGAATCATTGCAGCATATTTTTGGCATTGTTCACACTTCCAAACGTAGTCGGCAACTTCTTTTTTCATGGTGGACCAGTAATAGCCGCCCTGTATGAGGCATCTAATGAGGGCTCGATTACCGGTAAGTGCTCCGCAATGGCCTTCATGTACTTCTTCAAGGACACGTTTAGTTTGGTTTGTCCTTAGGCGTTTCTCCAAGGGACCGTCGAACATTCTTTTGTATAGCTCATGGTTGATGATGATGTATCAAGCTGCCTGCATTCGGAGCTTCTTGACTTCCTTTTTGTCGGGTGGGAGCAACCCGTCCTGTATATATGACATAATATGGTTGCGCCAGTCCTAAGTCAAGTTTATAGTGCGTACCTCAATTTGGTCTATCGTCGAATGGAGGAGGGTGACCAAGTTTTCTTTTCCGCTTATGTTCTTGGTAGCCACTGCCAATTTGGCAAGGCCATCTGCTTCGATGTTTTGTGCTCGGGGTACCTGGTCGAGTTGGAACTCGTCGAACTTGGGAAGTAGCTTATGAATTTCTGTTTGATATTTTTGTAGCCTTTGTTCTTTTATTTGGAAAGTCCCTGTGACTTGGTTGACGACGAGTTGTGAGTCACATCGGAGGATGACTCGCCGTGCTCCATACTTGAGAGCTAGTTTAGTCCTGCAATTACGGCCTCATACTCGGCCTCATTGTTAGTCATGTCGGGACACTGTATGGACTGGCGAATGACTTCACCTATTGGGACCTTGAGCACGAGTCCCAATCAGGACCCTGCCGCGTTGGAGGCACCATCGGTGTACAGGACCCATAGGTCGTGTAACTTGGGAGTGGTACAGGTTGCTTCTTGCTCGACCTCGAGTAATATTTTGGTGCTGAAGTCGACGACCGTGGCAAGTACGTGCGACTTTATCGCCGTTCGAGGCTAATATGTTATATCGTGCTTGCTTAATTCGATGGCCCACTTGGCTAGTCTACCCGACAACTCGAGTTTATGTAAGATGCTTCTTAGGGGAAAGGCCGTGACCATCGAGATGGGGTTGCATTGGAAATAGGGTCTCAGCTTTCGTGAAGCGACGACTAATGCCAAGGCTAGTTTTTCGAGGTGGGGGTACCTCGTTTCGGTATCGACCATGGTTTTTTCTAATGTAATAGATTGGAGACTGCGTACCTTTGTTTTCGCGGACCAGGACTACGCTTACTGTGATGTTGAACACGTCCAGGTAGATTAAGAGACGTCGAAAGCACACTTCTCGGGGGTCAACTTCATGTCGTATCGTCTGAGTATGTCGAAGGCTTCCCTTAGGTGGTCTATGTGGTCCTCTTTTCTTTTGGATTTGACTATCATGTCATCTATATAGACTTCCATTGTTTTGCCGAGTTGCTCTTTGAACATTTTGGTGACCTGCCTTTGGTAGGTCGTTCCTGCATTTTTCAACCTGAATGGCATAACTTTATAGCAGTACGTCCCTTGGTGGGTGATGAAGGTGGTTTTTTTCTTGGTCTTCCTCCTCCATGAGGATTTGATTGTAGCCTTAATACGCGTCCAAGAAGCTTAATAGCTCATGTCCTGTTGTTGCGTCGATGAGTTGATCGATGTGAGGCAACGGGAAGGAGTCTTTCGGGCAGGCCTTGTTTAGGTCCGTTAAGTCTACGCACATGCGCCATTTCTCATTTTTCTTTTTTACCATGACCACGTTAGTGACCCATTGGGGGTATTTTGACTCTCGAATGGAACCGTTGGCGAGCAATTTTTCTACCTCTTCGTGGACGACCTCGTTGATTGTCGCATTGAACTTTCGTCTTATTTGTCGTACCGGTGGGTAGAGTAGATTGACATTCAGCTTGTGTGTTGCAATGTCTTTCGGGATACCTGGCATATCTGCATGGGAGAAAGCAAACAGATCGGCATTGTCAGTTAATAATTTATGGAATTTACCGGTTTTTGTGAATTTCTGGCCGATATAGGCTTTTTTATTGTAGTTGCTTTCGTTCAGCTGGACGGGATCAAGATCTTCCACTATTGACTCTGTGGCTTCCAAAACGTCGGGGTCTCTGACAACGTCTGTTTGTTGGTCGGAATCGCTCTGACTTCGGTAATTTCTATGCTCCTGAGCCTTCTTCTCCTAATTGTTGAGTGTATGTGCAATTGGGCGATGCAGTAGCATTCTTGAGCTATGCCCTGCTCACTGCGGATGCTGAATATTCCCCATAGGGTAGGGAACTTGATGACTTTATATAAACTGGACGGGATGGCCCTCATGGCATGTATCCAGGGTCATCCTATAATGGCGTTGTAGGTTGTGTCTTGGTTCATGACATGGAATGTTGTTTCCAGGGTGACGCCCCCGGCCAGAACGGGCAATATTATCTCTTCGGATGTTCGTTCAACTGCATTGTTAAAACCTATTAGTGTAATGCAGCGTAGCACTATCTTATCCTCGAGTCTCATTTTTGTGTGAACTCGGGGGTGGATAATACATGCGCCGCTCCCGTCATCTACCATGATTCCTTTTACGTCAGTATCTGAAATTCGTAAAGTAATAACAAGAGCATCGAAATGAAGAAAGGTCAAACCGTGGGTATCTGACTTATCAAAGATGATACTGTCTTCGAGGTCATCGTACCGTTCATGGGTGATCGACCGCTTCAATTTGTGTGTGGTGGTGAACTTGACCTGGTTGATTGTTGCTTCATCGCTTCCGCCGATGATCATTTGGATGGTACAGGCGGGGGAGGTGGCTTTGGGGGCCTAGATGTGGTTCCCGTCCACGGGCAAAATTGGCTCTCCCTCGATCGCTCATCAACTCTCTTAAGTGTCCTTGGTGGCGCATGTTCACTACTTCTTGTCGTAGGGCTATGCATTCCACGATCTTGTGGCCGCGTTCCTGATGGAACTCGCAGAGGGTGTTCGACTTTCTAGAATTTGGGTCCGACTTCATCTTTTGTGGCCATTTCACCTTTGGACCGAGCTTCTCCAGGGCGTAAACTATTTCTGAAGGAGACATAAAAAAATTGTGAGCAGATAATAGTGAAGGCATACATCTTTCATTTTGGTTTGTGGCCAGGAAGCCCCTTCGGCTTAGCGGGGAGATAGCGGGATGGTCACTCTGTAGTACGGTTGGTGCCTTTCCCAATTGAGGCGTGGGCCTGCGTGATCTCTTTGGCTGTCATTCCGATGATCTTTCCTTGATTCCATTTGGACTGTTGTCAGTCGTTGGGTCGGACCATTGAGGTCATCTTCATCTGCCCTGACCTCGGCACAGTAAGCATTGTGGATTTCTTCCCAGGTGGTGAGAGGGTACTTTATAAGTCTGCTTAATAACTTTCTGGTCACCCTTGACTCGCTCTTATTTAACCCATTTTGAAAGGCCGCTACTGCCATCCCTTTTGATACATTCAGTAGGCTCATTCTCACTTTATTGCATCGGGCGAGGAAGTCCCTGAGCCCTTCGCCGGGTGATTGTTTGATGGCGAATATGTCATTCACTCTCTCTTCTGCTTTCTTGTCCCCGGCATGGGCGCTGACGAACTTGTCGGCCATTTCTTCGAATGTCATTATGGAATGGGCTGGTAACTGTGAATACCATGTTAAGGTTCCCCTGTTAGGGTTTCGCCGAACTACTTTAGCAACACCGACGGTACTACTCTTTCGAGAGGTCATTGACTTTTACTGCCCTAACATAATGGATGATATGGTCTTTAGGGTCTGTTGTGCCGTCGTATATTTTCAGGTATGGTGGCATTTTCAAAGTTTTGGGTATGGCATGTAGGGCTGCCTCCTCGCTGTATGGCTATTCCACGAACCGGCCGATGTCCCATTTTGGCAGGAGTTTCGGGGCGCCTGGTATCTTATCAACTCTTTCTTGATGCTCCCTCATTTGGTCGCGGAGCGCTTTATTCTCATTCTCTATTTTTCCTATTTTCTTTAGAACAGCTACTAGGGCGTCGTTTCCTGCATCAATAACGGTGTGAGGGTTACCTGTTGGGGGAGGAGCGTGTTGCTCGTTGATGGTTATTGGTGTGTCAACTCGCACGGTGTTCCTACCCGCCCCTTGAGCGGATTTGTCGAGTATACTGCTTAGGGTGCTTCTCAACCACGTCTCCAATAACTTTCTCACTGCGGGCGGTGGTTCTTCCGTTGTGGACATAGAGGCCCCCGTCTCATGTGAAGCGATTACACTCCCACTAGGAGGGGGTAAATCGCTTTGCCTGGGTGAGGCGCTCGGCGTTGCATCCTCCTCACCTTCCCTGTCCGTCTCATTGATGGTGCCTTGGAGATTGGTAGTAACACCTATCATTGTTTTCAGTCTTTCCTCTCCTTTTCCAGGCATTGTTAGCTTGTGCAAATGAGAAAAGGAAAAAGAGCTTTTGTTGTTTTTTTTAGATCTAGAAAAAACTAAACTTTTTAACTAGAACCTCCCCACAGAAGGCGCCAAATTGTTTGACTAAAAAGTTTGAACCCTTTTAGTTAAACCAATTAATAAAGAGATGAAGGATGAATCCAAGTTAAAAGTAATAATTCTACATCCGAAATCAATTAATCTAGGCGGTACGAGTCCGTGTTCACGTTGACAAATGCTGAATTAATACTCTATGACTAACCGTCAATACGAGGATAGAAACATGCAATAAATGGCCTTAAATGCAATGAGAAGGAATTGGTCACCCAAAGGTTGGATGAGTTGGATGATTCCTTCCTCTGACTACAACACGTGACAGCAGACAAGAGAGGAGTGTTATGCACTCTTGGATCTTGTGAGCTAAAGAAGAATGTTATATGGTGGAACCAAACAAGAGAGACAAAATAACCTTTTTGTGTATCTCAGATAGTCAACTCTTTAATAGATGTTTTTTTTACAAAGATACCCAATCCCCTCTTTATTTCTTCTCTCTTTCTATTTATAAGGAATATCTTTAGAAAACCCTAGAAAGGTACAATGTGGGGAAATATTCAATTGAATATTCCTATTCACAATTAGAGGAACATTCTAACAATTACAGTCATTGCTCTCTTCACGACCTCGGCATGGGTCTTTCCCTTCGAGCGACTCCTCGCCACTAAACCATACTGAGTTTCAACCTCGGTGTATTGGGAAAATTGAGTTTACATATTAAAGTAGTATGGAGATGACGTGTCGTGACACGTAGACTGGTCAAATGGTCAAAGAATTTCAACTAGCCATGAGGCACGAGTAGCAATGGATGCGAGCAAAGGCAAAGGAAGAGGCACGGGCAGACATTCAAGGGATCCGGCGCCCGTACCTATTCAAGGCATTTAAATTCAAGAGTCAAGAAGAATCAAGGGAATGAATTTGACAACACATGAGAGTCCAAATACAGTATTTAATAAGCCTTAAATGCTGTAAACGTTATAGAATCTGTCTTGAATATAATGATTATGTAACGTAGCTTTCAATGTCATTAATTGCCCATAATGGCCTTATTATGACAAAGGAAAGACATATATCTCAAAAATAGCTATAAAAAGGGGAGGACTGAACAATTGTAGGGACATGAAAGATCATCTGAATATAATTTGGTTTACTTGCTTTATTTAATTATATTCTGGCTATCCAAATTACTTTCTTTTATACATTCTTGCGATTATCAGTAACCCGTGTTCTTCTAAATTATAGCTTTAGTCAAAATTCTATTTTTTGGTTAAACAAATTGGTTCCGTTACCTGGAATGTGATAATCCATTTTATTTCAGCCTAACTTTCCTTGTTGCATCAACTATGTCGAACAATAATGACAACATTCAAGGAAACCAAGAAAATCAAACAACCCAGCAACTTCAGGGAGATCCACAGAACAATAACGTACTGATTCCTTCTCCACGAGGCTCTCCACGGCGGTCTCGTGAAGGCACTCTTGATGGGTCTCATACAGATGGACAGGCTCAATTCGAAAATGTTGAAACTATGGATGAGGCTTTGCAAAAACTTATTGCCTCACAAGTCAATAAAGCTCTTCAGGCTTTTGTTAGCCAATTACCTGCTGCACCACCCACACCCACTCCAAATAATAACACTCTGGAGAACCCTCGTTCCGGGCTCGTTAATTCAGGTAGTGGTGGAACCCCCAGCGAATCACAGGAGGGAGAACCAGGTAATTTAGTTAATTCTGATTTACAAAACTTAGTACTAACATTGCAGAAATAGCTCAAGGAGCAAAGTGACCGCATAGAGCAAATACCCGGGGTGCCACCCGTGATCAAAGGGGTAGATATGGATAAGTATTCTCAACAGCCCTGGAAGCCAAACGTTGCTCCCCTTCCAATTCCAAAGAAATTCAAAATGCCTGATACACCAAAATAGGATGGAACAACAGACCCACGAGATCACGTGACTGCATTCACAACAGGTGTAAAAGGCAACGATTTGACTAAGCAGGAGATTGAATCAGTATTAGTCAAGAAATTTGGTGAAACACTCATTAAGGGTGCACTAACATGGTATTCTCTTTTACCCGAAAATTCTATAAATTCTTTTGCTGAGCTTGCAGATTCTTTCATCAAAGCGCACTCGGGAGCTCAAAAAGTCGAAAAAAGAATGGAAGATATTTTTAAGATTAAGCAATGGGACTCAGAATTGCTTAGGAATTTGTGGACATATTTCAGTGTGAAAGAATGACATTGCCGCGTGTACCTGATATTGGGTAGCTATAGCTTTCACAAGCAATTTGAATGAGAAGTGTTCAGAAGCTATGGGGCGACTCAAGGAAAGCCTTCGTGAATTCCCCGCTACAACATGGAATGACATTTACAACAGATATAGCACAAAGTTGAGGATTGAAGAAGATATTATTTCACGACATCAAAAAGAAGAAAAGGTAAGCTCAAGACGGGCGGAAAACGAAAAAAGGTCCGGTAAAAATAGGTACGAGCCATACATGGGACCTGCAGGAAGAGACTCACGGTCAAAACATGACAATTAAAGGTACGATCATAGATTGAGGAATAGAGAGTCAGGCTCATCATCTAGATTTGGGAATGACTGAAGCACATGTGAATCGCGAGATGATGATAGAGGCCTAAAGGCAAGGTTTGGCGGTTATAATTTCAACGTGAGCACTTCTGAACTTGTGGCTGTTTTAAGAAGCATGGGAGATAAGGTTCGATGGCCGAAGGAGATGAGATTGAATCCAAACAGGTGCAACCCTGATCATTGGTGCGAGTTTCATAATGATCATGGGCATAAAACGGCAGATTGCAGGTTTTTGCAGGGTGAAGTTGATCATTTACTGAAACAAGGATATCTTACTGAGCTGTTCAGTGAGAAGGGAAAACAAGCTTACATGAAGAACAGGCAAGAGCCTCCAAAACCACCTTCTCCCAAAAGAACTGTCAACGTTATAAGTGGGGGTGAAGATATCAATGGTGTATCGTATACTGCAGCTAACAAGATTTCCAAAGTACAATTACCCACGGGAAGCGGCTTCGACATGTGTTGGAGGAAGAAAATATTATGTTCGATGATGCATATGCCGAGGGTCTATTAACTCCACATAACGACGCACTGGTAATATCTTTACTTGTACATGACACTAACGTGAAATGAGTTTTAATTGATCCAGGTAGTTCCGTGAACATTATTTTGGTACGAGTACTACGCGAGATGCAAGCAGAAGATAAATTGGTACCAAAAGCACATACTTTGTCAGGATTTGACAATTCCAGTGTTGTAACGAAAGGGGAGGTGATGCTTACTACATTCGTAGAAGGTGTTGTCAAAGACACAAAATTTCAGGTAGTAGAAATGGAAATGGCTTACAACATAATTCTTGGGAGGCCATGGATCCATGACATGGACGCTGTTTCATCAACTTTGCATCAAGTCATTAAATTTCCAGCGCCATGGGGAATATGTTAAATCAGGGGAGACCAACAGACATCCAGGAGCATCAATGCCGTGGAAAATTTAAGTGCGAAGGGTGAAGAGAAATAGCAATTACAGAATCCAGTTGAGGATAACATAACATCAACCTCAACTGAACAAGGGCAAACATATGTGGATTCAAAGCCTGATTCCATTCAAGAACCAGAAGAAAATGAAAACATCAAAACAACGATAGAAGAGCTGGAGGCAGTGGTTTTGTTTATACACTGGCCAGAAAGAAAAGTGCATATAGGAGCCAATCTCAGCCCGGATATGAAACGTAAGTTGATTGAATTTTTAAAAGCTAACGCAGATTGTTTTGCTTGGTCCCATTTTGATATCACTGGTATACCACCGGAGGTAATGACTCATAAATTGAATGAAGACCCATCTCATCCACCTATCAAACAAAAGAAAAGAAAGCAGGGCACTTTCAAAAATTAGGTGATTCAGGATGAGGTACACAAATTGTTAAAAAATGGGTCTATTCGCGAGGTAAAGTATCCTGAGTGGCTAGCCAACACTGTTGTGGTACCTAAAAAGAACGGTAAATGGCGAGTCTGTGTAGACTATACAGATCTTAACAAAGCTTGTCCAAAAGACTCTTTTCCATTACCTCATATAGATCAACTAATTGATGCTACTGCATGGCATGAGTTGTT